CAAAAAGTAGAGTTCAGAACTTTTTTATCGATGTATTTTTTCAACTAGACGACCCTTCGATGTTCAATTCTCAGTAGGAGATCTCTGCAAGATTCAGTTAACCAAATGATAATCCATTTTAATTCCAATCTTCTTTTGCAAAATTTTGACCATTGGATAGACGATCAGTAGACCTTTCAAACGAGGTGTCACATGACCCCTGTTTGTATTTAAAAAAACCGTCCATTACGTCATTACTCCAACACCGGTGACGTAACATCTCTCATATGAATGTCATGAGATGAGGTTTCAAAAATTAAAAATCACGTGTTTTTGGAATTTCTTCAAATGTCGCCCATTTCTGAAATAATGAATTTATTCCATACATTTGCATCATACTGATAGTAGTCCGTGGCCATACGCTGACCTTCTCCAGCTTTGAAGTTCAGAAATGATGTGTTCTGTGTATGCTTCATTACTAACTCATTACGCCACCTTAGAAGCACCATTGTTAATTGGAATGCAACAGTGAATCTTGCAGGACTATCCCCTGCCGATGTTCCGAAACTCCACAATATTCAATTCGTTAATAAATTATTGAAAAATCTCCTTGTTCTGACTGGGAATCGAACCCACAATTTCGCGGTCATGAGTCGGACGCTGGTTCACTGCACCAATCCTGTCTTTCCATCTCATTATCTATCAGTATTTTTATTGTTCTTATATTCACGGCGTTAATAGATAAAAGGAAGAGTTAACCGCAGACATGTGTTTCGGGCTTTCGGCCCTCATCAGTACGGTGAAAAAAATGCAAAGGATATAGACAACACTTGGTGGAAGACGGAACAACAAATCAACAGAGTCAACAAACAGAAGCCGTTGACTCGGTTGATTTGTTGTTTCGTCTTCCATCAAGTGTTGCCAGTTCTTTGCACTTTTTTCACTGTTTTGATGAGGGACGAAAGACCGAAACACCTGTCTGCGTTCAACTCTCAAAGAGAGAGGGCTATGTCCAATATTTTCTTCCTAGTAGCTTGAAACAGTTTCCTCAGTATTCCTTTTATCATAATAATTATGATAGATTCCCATATACAATTATTGTATATGGGAATCTATACAGGGTGTCCCGTGAAGACCACGTCAAAGAATTGTAGATCAAAGGATAACCCAGGACAAAATTCCCATAATAAAAGTCTCACCGTTCGAGATATATTTTTTGAATGATTGAATTTTTGTTCCTTTCAATAGTTTTGTCTGTACGGTTGGTACAATTTTAGACCTTTCTGGTTCATTTTTTCAGTAAATATTGCTGATGAATGATTTTAACGTATACAGTAAAACATTCTTCGGACATTTCGAAGGGGGGTTGTGAGAAATATGCTCATTGAACACTTCCCTAATAACAGACTTATGTTCCATGGATATCCTTAGGACGTCTAGTCGGGACATTCAGGACGTCCATAGGACGTTCGAATTTGGTACCGTGGACGTCCATTTTACGTCTGTGGGACGCACAAATGTCCCACTTGAAGACCAACTAGGGACGTCCTTGAGGGATGTCCCTGGGACAACTACGAATATCTAAATCGTACAAAATTCCTCATCTAGCACTACAGAGGACATCCTTAGGACAACCTATCAGCAACGCTGAGATATATCAATTGGATGTCCATTGGATGTCCCAGGGACGTACGAATTATTCCTGAATTTGAATTTTTCTGGGTCCCTCTAGGACCAGATCTTGCATAACTGATTAGGACATCCAGTTGAGTTGATGGTCCGTAGAAGGTCCCCAAAAAAATTCCCAAGGATGTCCAATGGACTTACGTGAAGGACATTGACGAGGAGTACTTATAGCCTACGAGCAATCATTCGTCGGCGAGATGTAAGTTAACGTCCTCGCAGGGACAACATATTGAAAGTACCGACTGGGACGTCCATAGGACGTTATTTCTAGGACATTGGAAGAGTACAGTTCATGTACCAATTGGGACATCCGACGAATATCCCTAAGGGACATTCGAAGGATGTCCCTAAGACCTTTCGATTTTTATACGATCCTGGAAATATTAAGGGCGTCTGTGCAGATATATTTGAAGGACTGTACCATCAGGGATATTTCAGGGTTGTCTAGAAACGACATTATATAAGATCTGAAGTCATGCCAGAATATGTACTACTCGGGACAACCGATGGATGTCCCTAAAGGAACGTTTAAAATCATATCCCATCAGGGACATCCCAAGGACGTCCTTGCATGGACATTCTACAATATGTACCACGTGGGACGTCTAAGGGATGCTATTTCTAAGACATTTGAAATGATGTACCAGCTGGGACATTCCGTGGACGTCCTTGCTTGGACATTGCATGAGATGTACGGGATGGGACGTCCCAAGGACACTTATTTTTGGTTCGGGACATTCGGACGTGAATTGTACCAAATAGGGACGTCCCTAGGACGTTGTGTGCTATTAGGGTTTGGTAGTGGATATTTTCAAACGAAAAATCTCGAAAACGGTAAGACTTTTATAATGGAAATTTTGTCATATGCAGGTGGGTTATCCTTTGATCTACATTCACTATTATAGGTTTGACGTGTTCTTTACGGGACACCCTGTATACATCGATGCAAATACTGTTTTTATCAACATCCTGTATAGCTAATGTGCCGTAGGTTAATTAAAATTCTGCGAGTATAGTGCTTTAATGATGACCCTTTGGAGCTGACCTATAAAATTTTTCAATAATATTCATAACGAATACCTACGAGTATCATTAAATATGCATCCATTTCACCGCTTAGAAGTCACTGTTCGATATCAAAGTCCATAGCGCGATGGCATGCAAAAAACGCGAAAGAATTTTTATCAGTTGATTGTTCGAAATCGAAACGATGAAGGACAACTAAAACTACATAATAATTTGTCCTGTAGAGGAAGTCCTCAATGTAATAATTATTGAATGTATACGCTTATCAGCTATATTCCACATAGTTGTTCTATTTTTAATATAAAGTACATTGCGGTTTATTGGTTTAGGGTGTTAGAGTTACAAATATTTTGAATACTAAGCTGTTGATAATATCTAATTTCTTGATGATGTTATCAGATGTGAATTACAGTTTGTGAGACTATGAAGTAGTGATAAAGTGTCAGTTTACGTAATTATGTATGTTTATATTAATATGGAAATATCAGCCGTTCACATTTCTATATAGAACGTGATAAAATTATGTTTTATTGAGGTGGATAATGTAAAAATCTGACTACCTATAAGAAGTGACATCTCGTTTTTCATGATACTATTCACATTCACATGCTTGAATTCATCTCAATTTGAAAACTATTAACAATTTTTGGGGATTATCGATTACATATGATCAGCATTTTAACCAGTAATTTTTTTTTATAAAAAAAACGTGCACATTACGTCAGTAGTGGCAAAGAAGCGTATATCGATTCTGAATTATTGTGGCTGTATAAAGTACAAAGTTCCATTTTACTATCAGTAAAAATTCAACCTACACTAATGTGGATCTTATTTTCCGTACGATTATTCAATCATTAGTGCTGATGAATAATATACCTTGTTGGAAATAGGTCGTCACTAGCATATACAGGGGATGGACAAATTTATATACTATGGGTATAATGCACTCAGCAATTGGTGAAATCAAAATGACAAAATATAGTGAATTATTTTTCTGACATCGAATTGATTGAAATATTTAGGTAAGATATCATCGCTTGGGGTTCCAACTGTCACTGTATAGTCAAAAACTTGCTATGAACATACATTAATACCCCTCTAGAGAATCAACAACTCAACCTCAATTCAGACCCTGGTATACCGATCTTTTCAAAAATTTATTATATCTCGATTAACTAGAAGTATTTTTCATGAAAATTGAAGAAAGATTATTCTAGGTGGCTTGACATAAAACTCGCGTCACACAAGTCCACAAGTCATTCTGATAGTAGAATAAGGAAGTTACAGGGTGAAACACTCTGATTGCCACTTCCTGAAACTCAGTGAAGATCAAAAAAGACCAAAAAAGTATTCAAATGATATTTTTCAGTTATTGAAATAATAAAGGGAGAAACTAATAGTTTCATCTCGAGGATCTGCATGAATAAACATAACTATATCAAAAATACCCTACTCAATATAGGTTTTCGAAGTAAAAAATGAATAAGAGATTGCAGAGGTTATCGCCATTTTGCTAACTCTGGACATTTTGAAATTAACCTTCCACCAAGAAGTATAGCCAAAAGTTTCATTTTTATTTTGAATGACAGGTTATCTCCGTCTGAACTTTGGTGTGTGAACTGTTTTCGCATAAAAACCTCTTTTTTATATGTACTGGGTGCAGCAATTATAGTGTGCTTTATTCATGAAATTTGCAATACCCTGTAGAGTAAGAATCGGAATTACACTTTAGCATCATCTTTCTTCAACATTTAGTTTTTGGATTCTCCATCATCTTTCCTATCACTCGAGAAACACCATTTTATAGTGTAACATATATGCTTTTATGAAAAATCAATATCCAAATCTCAAACTTTTGAATACTTTTTGGTGATGCTTTAATTTCAAATATTATCAAGCTGGAAGCACTACTTCCTGTTTTTTAAAATGGAACACTCTGTATATATTGCATTCTTAGGTTCTCTGAAATGTTGATCCCATCAATGCATCACACGTGTGGTCTAGCTGGAATGATTACAGAGATATAGGGTACGTATTCAAAATCGAGATTTTTCAACTTCAGGATATTCTTTTGTGTTAAAACAATTCATAATATCGATCAAAACGGCTTATATGTCTCTTATATCAATTCTTGAACTACTATCTAGTGACATTTGATTATAACAAATACAGGGTGGTTCAAGATCCAGAATTGTGATCACCGGTTTCTATACAGGAAAAAATAAAAGTATTGTAGGGGATTGTGCCTTCTTTAGAACGTGCCACCCGGTATTGAAGCGTGTGTTTTCCATCACGTCTCATTTTTATTCATATGCGGCATGCGGCTAGTCTCGTTTGTATATTTTTGCTTATTTATCAGGTCATTATTTCGATGCTATCCCAATAACACCACAAAAAGTTGCGGAAAAACAAACTTTTTGCAATGCCCTCATCGAGCTGCAAGGTCGAAAGCTGACATTAACTCAGTAATCATCGTAACTAACAACACTAACCTATTCAATTTCAATTTTTAATCAAACCTGACGAAGTTTGCTTCACGTCAACATCAACAGTATTGTGTTCAGTTTTATCATCGCCATTGGTGCGCAAATATTGGTGAATGTTGATAAAGAAATTCCGCAGGTCGGAAAACTCTGAACAATTTAACAACATTGAACATAGTGTATAGTGCTAACTCAGGTTCCTACTATAGGATAGGTATAAGAAAACAGATCTAGTGCAGGGTTATTGCAAGTGAGGGTAGTTATAGGTATAAAAGTGAAGTGACAGTTTGTGTTCCACGTTCAACCGTTGATTGATATTTAAAACGGTTCAACTATTTCGGAAGGAGCTGGATATTTTTCACCTGATGAATTTGTTGATTGTAAATCATTCATGGTGAAAAAGAAGGTTTTACTTAGACGTTCGTCAACGGAAAGTATCGCATATACAGGATGTATCTCGACGTGATTGATTATACCTACACGAAAACTAGGTCTATCCATTTGAAATATTTTAAATTTGTGCTCGACTCCATTTACAAATTCCACTTCAATCTATATAGGTACAATTTCATGCATCGAGCATCTTTATCAGATAAAGTTCATACAGAATGAAACGTTTTTAGGATAAATGAAGAAACATTTTTTCGTAAACGGAGATTGCAAAAATTTTTTTTTTGGATACTCAGCAAAATCTAACACCGTTTGACTTTTTCGAAAGAAACAATAGGATAGAATCGATCCAAACAATCGAAAAAGCCAATGAAAACGAGTTCTTAGTTTTCAAAAAATCGTTCAGGAAATCGGATGTCAACAAGTATACCTACTCAAATTCGAAAGAAATCTCTATTTCTATTTTTGACCACTGAATAAGATGTTCAACACCGAAAACCAAAAGTGCTGACTATGTTTGACACTCAAGCTTTGCATGTTCGGCTTCAATTCGCTTCGACTCGTAATCGCAAATTTCGCTTGTCAAACATAAGTTCCTTGGTCCTAATTGAAGATGTATGTAATATGTATTATTTCCTAGGCGTTGAGATAGTTATATATTTTTCTTTGGATGAAATTACTATACACGGTAGTCCGATGGGTAGTCCACTTTATAGTTTAGCAGAATTGTGACAATATCGGTCCAAAAAGTTTCAATAATATTTATCGTTAAAGACACTCGTTCTCAATATACAGGGTGTTCAATTTGAATGGAAAAATTGCTTCTCAATTACCAGAAAACATTTGTAGTATTGTTCATCTGATATCAATACCAGTATATTGTATCGTTAGGACGATATCAATTGGTTTCAATATGTGTTGAACAGGACGTCTTAATGGTGAATTTTCAGATTTCATTATAAACTATGAAATAATGTTCAGGTTTCTTGCCACAAATTTTGATACGTTTATTCTGAGTCCAATATAACGAAAACTGTTTTTTTTTGCTCGTGTTTCTTTCAATAAAATAGAACATGGAATTCCAAACCTTGAGAAAATATGTGAAGAGTTACCCCATTTTCAAAGTAATTTCATGAACAATTGATGAGGCTGACGAGGAAATATGAGAAAAATCATAGTCGTTTTTGAGCCTCATTCTAGGCCTAGTGTTTCTACCTCATTATTCATCAAATCAAGGAGGCTCATCACTCTCATCAGTTTATAACCATTATAATTCTCAGGTCATATCACCTGTGAAGAGTTGTTGACCGAATTTTGAAACATCTTGTGAACCTCGTTGACCCTGTGAGATACACCCTGTATACGTAGATTTATTCATTTAATAATATTTGAGCTTGATGAAAGCATGAAATATTGATGAATGGATTGGTAATGTTCAGTTGTCGAATCATTCTTGACATCAGCCTACTCTATAAGTTAGAAAAAATATTGAAGTGATTGCAAGGAAAATTTCAAAATTTCACCTTCAATTATTACCACTTTATGAGCAGTGAGTTGCCTCAAATGATGGCATTTTGAGGTCGAAAATCTTCTATATACATAATGTTCAGTTACATAATAAGGACCACTCTGTATGAGAGAGAATTCGGCAAAGTATATTCACACATTGATAATGTTATGACGGAGAGAGAATTTCCCCAGAATTCCCGCAATTTTCCGCGTATACAAGAACTGCATGTAATTGTATAATTATGATAGAAGCTTAGGAATGTGAATTTCTGAATATTCAAAATAAGACGTGAGGCCTGGCATATCTTGCACCAACAAAAATCCTTACACTACAGGTTGTTATTTAAGTATGTGGCCACACTTCAATAGTTGATTTTTCAAGTGATCCCAAATCGAAAAGTTCATGTAAACATAGAGTTTTTCAACTCCAAGTAAGTCAAGAACAAATAATGTCATTCTCTCACGTCAATCTTTTTGTATTGTAGAACTTTTAATTAGGCTGAAGATGGTCTTTGATGAGACCAAAACATGTCCTTTCTGATTGTGTAACACCATAAAAATTTATGGAGATGACTTCGAAAATTTCTTCCTTCCTTTAAAAAATCCCTCCAATTTGAGCAATATGGACTTCTACCACAGCTTCCATTTATGATCACCACAGATTAACATACCTCTACCAGAGATTATACACTCATTCAATAAAACTATGTTACGCTTTGAAATTATCTTTCTGGAGATATAGGAAAGATAATGGAGTAAATCTAAAAAAGATAAGGCTAAAGTGTAATTTCAATTAGAAATTTCAGGAAAAAACACGGTATGATTGCTACACCCGGCAGCCATAAAAAATAGTTCGCACGCTAACATTCAGGAGGAGATAACTCATCATTCAAAACAAAAAAACGTCCACATCGGACAAGTAGTTTTAACGAAAATGTATCTCTGACTTTTGGATATACTTTGTGGTGATGCGTTACTTTGTTGGGCAAGTGTATGTTCAGTTTCTCAATAAGGACTAATCTGCATAACCCAATCAGCCAAAGTACGTCTTAAAGGCGTATTTAAGACGTACATGTCGGGACATAAGTACGTCTTAAAGACGTACATATTACGCCCAAGAGACGTCTTTAAGACGTCTTTAAAACGTACATTTTCCACTAATATGTACGTCTTTAAGACGTCTTTTTTAGGTGTTTTTGGTCCATGACCTCAAATTGATCTTTCAAATTACGGAAAAAATCACATAGTTTCAGTTGATTTTCACCTGTGCACTGAAGTTAGCAACAAGTGCAGACAAGCAAAAAAAAAGGGTGAAATAAACGACTTCATCAAACGGTAGACACAAGCCGGTCACCCATTCAAGTACTAACCGCGCTCTTTGTTGCTTGACTTCGATGATTATACCATATTCACTTCTTCTGTTACTCTGTTTGTTCTATATATCACATAACAAGCTTTTACTTAATTTAACATGTCCTTGTGTCTGTTTGTAATCAAAACGTGCAAGTTAAATTTGACTCACTTTAAATCGTCCGATTGATTTGAGATTTGACAAGTAAATATTATTCCGGTGACAATTCGTTGTGATATTATTATTGAATGGGAAAAACAGAATGGCGGATCCAATATGGCGGACGATGTGGCATATGGTTTTCTGATTATGGTCTGATCTGATTCGAAATTGGCATCTGAAGGATTTTGGGATCAGAGATTATAATTCCTTTTGTCGAAAATGAAAAATCCAAGATGTCGGCTTCAAAATGGCGGACGAGTTTTGTGATTATAGTCCGATACTATTCAAAATTGATTACTATATGGGACTTTTGGGGTCGGAGAATATGATTTTTTTGTGAAAATTCGAGAATCTAACACGAAGGCTCCAAAATGTCGGACGAAAAAATTCAAAAACATCACTTTTGTTGAAAATAAGAAAAAACTGAACAATTGAAAATAAAAAACGTGAAGAGATGACATTTTGTTTTCCTTCAGAAAATAACTTACATTATTGTTCTATAAGTCGAATTGACGTACTGGAATGTACGTCTTTAAGACGTCTTTTATACGACATGGGAGGAACGACGTGGATACGACCTAAAATGTACGTCTTAAAGACGTAAATTCGTGTACGTCTTTAAGATGTACATGGATTTACATCTTAAAGACTTACTTTATACGTCCCTGGACGTAAAGACGTAAGTAAGTCGTAAAATGTACGTCTTTAAGATGTTTGGTGCTGATTGGGAAGTTATACTTCGGCACCGTATATCTACTAACATCTCCAGTGATTTTACGACGGAGAGAACATTTCCCGAGAATTTCCGCGTATAGTTGGACGCATGGCAGGAGCACCCCTAGTTGGTGGAAACATCCGCATCAACCCTCAGTGAGCCAGATGAGGTGAACAACGACCGTTCTTTCCACAACATCGATCGGGAAACGCGGAAAATGTCTGCGACTAGTACTCCGAGGTATGTTTTCCGATATTCTCCACAACTTGAGATTTATTGTCCTCTTCAGCCCATTTGTTGATGATCTTCTTTTCGTTTTGTGAGAGAATGAGAGAATATATTGTGCTGACAAAAAGTGTTTTTATATAGGGGTGAATGTATGAAAGTTATGCCGGTATAATATGCGGCTTCTTCAGTATGAATGAATAGTTTGTTATTATTGAAGGATATGCGGTATATATACTATGCTTACATTATTTGTTCCGTGAATGCTTTTCACATACGTTCCGAAACTTCCATTGATTTTGTTTTTGAGCTCCAAAACATTTGTTACAAAGTTATCTTCGAGGATATCTTCTTGTTGAATGTTGAAGTTCCTCTGATGTGGATTTCGATACTCAAAATCATGAGGGATGAATGATGTATTATTGTTTTCTTCAATGTTCAAACTGTTGTGTTTGAATTGATCAATAATACAACGGTCTTCTTTTACAAAATTTGGTTGAACCTTATTCACTGTTTTATTGTATCACTTGCATAGTTAATTAACCTACACTCAAAATGAGTTTTTCATACTCAATGTTCGTCTAGTAGGTTATGTTTCATTGTACAGGTTGGGTCAAATTGGACACTTTTCGAGATCAACATGAACGTTTGTCATAAAACAAATTGATATCAGAATTCGAGTCAAAATCTATCTTGATTTTGGTATTAAAAGAAAAAGCGTAAGAGTATATCAGAGAGAGAAATTAACGTCATCCTATTTCCGTAAAACGGGCTATTGGAAATGATTGTTTACCAAATGTTGAAAATCAAGTAACGGCCGATAGTCAATTAAAAAAAAATCGAGGAAAATGATTAAGATAAGCGATAATATAGTCTTTTATATGTAATATTATACCCATCTGGCAATAATTTTCCTATAGCGATACGATGCATGGGTATTTCAAAGACAGGAAAAAAGCGTCGTTGCTCCACCTACTCGAGTATGGCACGTGTGCAAAAGATAATCCCTTCCGTAGGACCGAAAAATGGAGTCGCTCGAAGAGGAGTTAACGTGATACGAAGCGTATGGCAACGTCGCTTTTTTCTCTCCTCGTTAAATGCCTATGCACACGGTTTCTCTATGGGAAAATTATTCTTGCCAGGCGTGTATATTTTTTTCAGTACTGAAACATAGTCTGTCAATAATAATTTGCACAATTAAACTAGTATTAAAATATTCGATGATTCAAATTGAAGAAGCGTATCGCAGTATAGCCTATACACTGCAATAGCTCAATTTCATATTTTGGCGAAGTGGGGCGCATTCGCCAAAACATCAAAATTTCTCAAATTCTGGGATTTTGTCTTCTCGTTTGAAATAATAGTCCAAGATCGAGCTGCAAATTTCGACGTTCATCTGATAACGAAAAGACACATATCACGAAGGCATGCAAAAGCATTGTAGCTTATCGAACGGCACCTGTGACAATTACTATCCTGATCAAAATGATTGAAAAATGCGAGAAAAAATGGCACACACCTGTGCGGAAATTTGCACTCCATATCGCGATTTGATAATAAGATGTGGATTATATAGAATACTTGTACTGTGAGCACCACATGCGTTTCACACTGGTCCATCGGATATTTTCTTTCGACGAGGGCGAAATATTCACGGAAATATTGACGCTCTGCCACTAACTTAGATCAGTTTGAACCACGGCACGTTTGGATATTCCCAAAGGCAATTTTTACCCATTTATTTGCTTTTTGTTTCAATTCGTTATCACATGACGAAAGTATGTCCAGAATAATTTGAGCCAAAAAATCGCTGTGCCGTGGATTTGGCCAGTCTGAGGGGTGGAACAGGTAGGTTTCTGATATCTACTATTCAATTGGTATCGGATGGCATAATCCTCATCTCGTTATCAAATCGCAAATTCCAGAGAGGAAAGTTCTATTTGTAATAATTTTGCTCAGGATAGTGATTGGCACAGGTGCCGTTCGATGAACTATCACGGAAAAAAAGTTTTGTTGCACCAACAAAATAATTTTAGTCATTATTTTTTTGTTAAATCAAACACAATTTTGCGAAATCAACGAAATATAATTATGTTCATTCCAAATAAGCAACCTATTCAAAGAGACAAAATAATTTGATTGAAATATTTGCTCACTTGAACAAAAGTTTCATTTCATTCAACAACATTTATAGTTGACATAAAACAAATTTTGTTGATCCAACTATTATCTCATTGTTCAATCAATCATATGCATTTTGTTTATTCGACAAAATTGAATTAATTTTGACAAAGGTTTAACTAAATACAACATCATATTTTGTTGAGTCATTAATCATTTTATTGTGCAACCAATCAAAGGTTTTTTTATTCGACAAAATTGAATTGATTACGACAACATAATATTTTGTTGATTCAACACATCACTATCAAGAAATATGTTGTTATTTCAAACAAATTACTTCGTTGAACAGAACCCACAAATACATTATATCAAACAAATATTTTGTTGAATGATTATCTAGTTGCATTTTTGCCACCGGGTGGCGTTTTTTCCAACCTTCCTACGTTTGCCTCGATTGGGGTGTACATATACCTACCTAAAACATCCGTTTATATAATTATATTAGGCTGTCCTATAGGATTCCTTATGACGCTTAAACAAAATAATAGTCTTGAATCAACTGAGGAAATTGATCTCTAATTTCTCTTAATTTTGAAATTCAGTTATTGGATTCTTTTCAATATTATTCAGCAAAATATTTTGTCAGTTCTAAACACAATTTGGTTGATCGAAGAATATATTTTGTTATTTTAACATATTCACTGAAAAAACTGAAAATTTTTTCACTTGAATGAAATGATATAATCATTTCAATCGACAGAATCGTTATAAGAGCAGATATTGTAATTATAGGAACAAAATAGTCTTCGTTTATTCAACCAATTCCTGCTGTTAATTTGAATCATTAATGAGTTACATCAAATGAATTTTGAATTGAGAACTGACAAAAAACATTTGTTGCGGCGACAACATATTTTGTAATGGATATATGACACTCAGATTTTGATAAATTTACAAAAATTTCGTAGTTTCAAACAAATTTTCTTTCTGTGTACAATTAATGTTGTTACATTCCATTAGGATATTTATCATTTCGTTATCAGATGACGGTAGAAATCTGCTGCCGGCTCTCTTACTATAGGAATCTGGATATTCCTTCAATATACATAATGTGTAGTAAATACGAATAAAATGTTTCGCCCCGAAATGTAACTGCGTTCAAAAATGTCACTATTAAAGATTCCAAACTCTAAAAATACAGAAAAATTGCTCGACCTACGGTCTCCCAATTTGTTCATTTCAGTCTCGCAGTTTTTTCATGTCAGTAAATTACTTATTGATGAATTTATTTCATTAGAAAGAGAAATTTATTTGATAAAAAAAGCTGTTTTCACTGTTGATGAAAGTATTATTAACAATTTTGCTTAATATTGACCTCTCATTAACCCTACATTTTGTTACTATCGGTTAGTAGTCGAGAGAATCAATTGTTGCCATGGGTTGAAAGCATTATATAAATGATGAATAATTGAAAGTATCTGATAGTGGAGAAAAAAAAAGTATCTTCATAATAATTATTATACTACGTGTTACAGGCATACGAGTAACAGAACAAAAATTACTCTATAATTCATTTTAACGATTAATCAACGTATAAAAACATAATGCACAACCATAACGCTGCTTAGTTGTAAAGTGGCAATTTTGAAAACAATGAAATCAATGACCATCTAACCCAAAAAGGCCGCAAGCGTAAAATATGAGTCCGAAGACATTGAAATTATTGTCACGCGATATAATTATGGATTCCTTATTGATACGTTCATTGATTTTGATATCGTGAAATGAAAGTAACCGCCATGGTAATCACATTTCTATTTTCTCATATTTGTACACGGGTGTCCCAAATTCGTTGTCCGCATGAATACCTACTCTCTTGGAGGGCACGAAAGGAAATTTCTATAAAATGTTCGAAGAACGTCGTGCGTACTCATCCGGTAGGATGGGGAGAGGAGGTATGTGTTGGATTTTTTTTTGAAATTTTCATAGGTTCTTGGGAAAACTTCTTGGCAAAGAATTCCAAATCTTTCGTTTGGCACGAAGGACTCCTTCACTAACTACCATCATACGGCTTACCACCTCAGCTATGCCATCTCTTATCGAGTTTTCTTTCAGGCAGATCGCTTCACGTGGTGGTGGACGGTGTATCGTCTGATACCATTGGCATCAATTCCGGTGTTCCACAAGGATCAATTTTGGAACCAACATTATTCCTTATTCATATCAATGATCTGTTGGGAGTAACAACTTGCCCTATCCACAGCTTTACAGATGATAGTACCCTACATACTGCGTTCTCTTCCAGAATTCCCATTTCTTCCCAGGAAACTAAGAACTCACGGCGCAGGCAGGTCATTGCTGTCAATGAAGACCTTGCTGAAATCACAGCCTGGGGAACCAACAACCTAGTTGTATTAGTCTATATTTTCTCTAGAAAGGCGGAACTCAGTATGACCGATATTGTAATGTCTGGCACCACCATCCCCACCAAGCCCACCATATCTATGCTCGGTATTTCTATCAGCAACACTCTTTCATGGGATAATCATGTCAGATCCATCGCAAAAGCTGCTTCACAAAAACTCGGATTCTTGTTCCGTGCGAAAAGCTACTTTACACCTCAATAGCTTCTCATGATCTACAAAGCGTAGATACGGCTTGTTCTAGAATACTGTTCCCACATATGAGGTTCAGCACCAAAACATACGCTGATGCTCTTAGATTTCATCCAGAGAAGAGCCATTCGCCTGGTGGATGACGCCACACTCACTCACTCTTTGACATCATCATTGGAACACCGTAGAACGGTCGGAGACCTTTCACTTTTCTCTCGATACTTCCACGGGAAATGTTCTTCGGAAATCTCTGCTATCATCCCTTCACTAGCAATA